TTTTTTTTTTTTTTTTTTTTTTTTTTTTTTTTTTTTTTTTTTTTTTTTTTTTCAAATAGTGCCAATTCCACTGCAATTGTTTTTTCTTAGCCGCTTCAATTGAGGGCTGTGGTATAGATATCGTCACTTTAATTGCTACTATACCTCGTCAATCGATATCAATGAAATTGTCAAGTGTGATGATCAAATTACGAGAAAATGGCTACACGTCAACATACGTCAAATGGAATTGTGGTGACTTAATTGTTTTGGAGTTTCGCGGTATCCGATAAACGTACATTATGGCGATTATTTTGTGGATAAGGACAAGTTATTAGGCTAATTGTTGATGTAAATGGTTTAATGGGTCGAGTGATACTATGGCGATACGATGAAATGCGGTCGATTTTATTGAACATTTTGGTGTTTGTTTATTTATTTAATTTAAAAAAAAAATTATTTTAATTTTTCATCGTTTAACAATTATTATCGACACATTAAAATAACCCTGCATTATACTGCGATATTTAATTTCTATAAATAAATGTGTAGAAAGTACATCGTAGGATTTGGTACACATGTGTGCTCTATTATCGAGCTCCGTTGCAGCCAGTAAGAAAACAATATTTGCTTATACGTCACGTTATTCTTACTCGTATAACATTAGCTAAGACCTTAAACAAATGAATAAAACTAAGGAAATTAATAACTAGTTTATTGCACGTAACGCATAAACACAGCCAATGTATCATTTATTTGTAATTAAAAAACAAAAAATGACACATTGAACGTTTAATTTTGTTATACATCATTTTTTTTTATTTCATCATACCACTGTCCAACTGCAATTAACAAAAGTATCAAGTAATCCAATTTACTTATAAATCTCAAACCATCATCTTCGCCAATTGCAGTAGATAAATCAAGTATTCTTTCAACTAAATTAGTTAAACAGCATTCAATCGACCATCACCAAATTAACGGTTGTTGATGATGAGGCTTTGATGAGCTTCGCTACTATAATTGTCCTTTAAACTCAGCGCTACATTTCTTACATGAATCACCTATAGCGCTCGTGAGTTCATATACGACGTAACTGTGACCTTGACTTGTCCATTGAACATGAAAAGCTATGTACCTAGCAACCTGTTAGGCTATACATCTACACGTATATTACAGTCACCATAAAGAAATTTGAGAGACATGAGCTTTTTCGAGATCGGATGCGATGGGACGTAAATGTTAATGAAGGCTCCTCTCATAAGCGCCATAAATTCGATAATAAATAAGTAGAATAAAAGGGGGCACGTGATGCAGCACACCAAAGCTATTGTGCATCGATGGCGTGCTGGTAGTCGATATGCATAATTCGCACGCGCTGTCTTGCGTGCCCCGGAACTCCCAAAGTCACGCTGCTTTGTACATGATGTATAATTACGCGCGGCTGTGCTATAACTAACAACAAGTAACATCTGTTGTTGTTGTATAATTTCTTTGTTGGATGTAAAATGACGTAAATTGACGCGTACATGAGAGTGTATGGATTTGATGTGAAATTGCAGGAGCGGCGGCGCAGGTGGACGTCTGGCAGCCCCGCGGATGTCACTGCTGGGACGCCCGGTGAACTATCGGGCGACTCGTCGCGATGCCCGCTACCGACGTCTCCAGGCCCGCGTCTACAACTTCCTCGAGCGGCCCCGTGGCGTCTACGCCATCACGTATCACATGATTGTGTGAGTACATGTTTTACTGCTTTATTCGCGCGTGTACAACCAGTATAATATTTATATATAGGGGAACAACAAACACGCACCGCGACATGTTTGCCGGTATAAAATATATATGATCTCTGTGTGGAATGTGTCTATTGTTATGTTGTTTACGCACATGTGCGCGCCAGGGGACTCGGGTGCGTATTAATTAACTCCCTTTTGTGTCGCAAGGGCTGCGTGACTGACCTACCCCTAGGCTGTGGAACTAGGGTACTTTTCTTATTTCCTTGTGCTCTTTTTACCTGTTTTTTTTTTTTTGTTTTTTTTTTTTTTTTTTTTTTTTTTTTATTGATTTCATTGCCATAAAATATCCATGAGGAATTATTTACGAAAATCTACTCGAAAAAAATTTTTCATTTCAAATTAACTACATTTTTAACAATTACAAAGCACTAAATCACTAAAAAATCAACACTCATTATAATTGCAGAGTTAATTGCACCGAATAAATAGATTAAGAAAAGTCATCATAGAAAAAGTAGCATATAAATGGACCAAAGTTTTTTATATTAGTGTTCAACAAAATTTTGAAAAAAGTTTCAACAAAAGGGAATTCGTTTCTTTTGCATTATTAAGTTAGGAAAACCAAGCGTATCGTTACATTCATTACATCAAAATGGTATACCGTACCAACCTACATAAATTATTTTCCCCCGAGACACAATAGAGCAATAATAAAAATAAAAAAAAAGATTAATTTCACGAAGTCAAAAAAGGACATTCAAAAAAATCCGTGCGGCGCATAAAGAGCGTCCGACTGCATCGTTGAGCAGGGAACAAGAAAAGAGAAAAATGAAGAATGGGGGGGGGGGAAAGAGGCGTGCAGGTCGGCGTCACTGCCAGTCAGGCGCGTTCGCGACTCGTTCGAAACAAACCATACCGTTTCGAAGGTACGCGGGGAATCCCCGCAATTTTTTATCCACCCTCTCTTGCGTTTTCCTTCAAACAGCGTGTGTACCTACCACGTGACGCGGCAAACCTGCGAGGAGACGCTCGTACACAGCCGAACTCGGTAAATGAACCGTTCTCTCGCGAGAGTGATTTTAAAAAAGTTTCCCGCTTCCACTCGCCCGCCCTATATAACTGTCCCCCTCGCTGGTTTATTTATTTATTTTTTTTTTCCTTCTATAAAACTCCGCCCTAGCGCAATGGAAACCGACCGGAGGGCTGAGTGGATTTAATTCCAGTGACTCCCCTCGATATGATTTTCAAGCCAGTCTCTGGGGCGCCTCCCTCCATCTCTCGATAAATAATAAATTGAGGCCCGGCGCTCGCTCAAATATTTACGATCAAAGTTTCGCGAACGAAATGAGAATCGGTGTTCAATGGAAATGCCAGTAAGTGTAGGTAATGAACATGGCGTGTTGTGTATACTTTGCGAATTCAATTTTTTTTTTTTTTTCTTTTTTTTTCCTAGCAGTCCACTCAAATGCTTGATTTATGTCGCGTACTTTGAACGCTTCAATCTCTTTACTCCCTTAAAACGCTCGAGGGTCGAATTTTAAGCAATAGGCGATCGAACACTTTTAAAAACGGAAAAGCTCGAAGAGGTTACGAACAAAAGTATGTGAGGAAATTTTGAAAACTGATTTTTCTGTCTTACGTAGATTAGTTTTTCGATGAAACAGTATCGTACCAAATGAACAGTATAGAATCGATGGCAGGCAACTCTTTCCATACATTCCCTACTCTACCTTTATAGAGGGGGGGCAACATGTTAAATAATTCTGTAAAGCATTCTGTAGCATTATACAAATTTTAGACTCAAGAACAAACGACCATTAGGTGTACTGAAACATTTAAAAATAATTGGCTTTACGGTGACGATCTATCTGTACGAAGCCAGTCCCGCGTGAAAATTTCAAACACGGCAACAATTTTTGTATCATCGACCACGTACCTATCCGTATTAAAAAAAAAAAAAATTCACCTGCAAGCGTGTCCATTATATATACAGAGTCAAAGGGTTCACCCACGGATGGGGGGTGGGGGGTCGGTTATAACTCATTTGGTAAATAAAACTCCGCTGTTGAACGTCGAAATTTCTCACCGGCCGGATTTATTGCCGCGTCACGGTTATAAATTTCCGAGTGGCGCTCTCTCTCTCTCTCTCCCTCTTGCCGTGTGCTCCATTTCGGAATCGGATTTCCATCGCGAAACTTAGCCTCGGCTCGGACGCTTGAAACGAAATCTATCGTTCACGAGCTTTTAATGGCCCGTTAATTAATCATCTTATATGCATTACTTATGTGTGTATATATATAGAGACTCGCGAGCGAAGCGTATATTTTCGAGCTTCAAGTTCAAGTGTGCGCGCGTAACGTGTGCCATACAGGCGTTCCACAAATGTATGTTTCAAAACTCGATCGAATTAACGCGTCACCCGTACCTCCCATCACTCCAATACAATCGACGTGATTGGTTCATCCAATGATTTTCCATCGATTTGCCGTCTGACGGATGCTATACTTTAATTCCTCGTGACTTTCGAGACGAGACTCCAGTGGTGTTTGCCCATCAGCGCGTGAAAGCAACAATCGCTCGTCCGTTTGTTAAATTCCACTCCCAACCGTCATTTTGCTCGTCGCGGTTGTACCACAAAAGCGACAAATCAATCTGGACGCACGACGAGCCACGCCGGACCGTCGCGGCCTCTCGTTGGAATAACAAATCTTTGTCAACGGCGCGAATGATGACAATAACCATCCCCACTATTTGTACTGTATACATCGTATGTATATATATATGTATTTGTAAACGCGGGGAATGTCGAATCATGTTGTCGGATTTTGGAAAACCGGTCACGAAGACTATTCGCATGATGGCATTGGAGCGTCGTGGATTTGGGCTCGAAAATAGAGATGCAAAGGCGCATAGAGACGGGGATGGGGTATGTATGCATGTACGGACTCACAGAGAGCTTCTCTCTTTTCGCTATTGACTTTAAAATTACTCTGTGTGTGTGTGTATGTGTGTGTGCAGTCGATTGAATTCGATGCTCAGCAAATCCGACAATACGAGAGAGAGAGAGAGAGAGAGAGAGGGAGGCCGGGTTCAAATTAAAGTAGGCGGATGTGGAGGAGGAGAAACGGCTAGGGGAAGCTATTGCGTAATAGCTGAATAAATTGGCGAGCTAGAGGTGGTACAATGCATGCTCTTATTTATTTTTTATGCACTTTTTGCATCTCGTTCTCCCTATATGTATACCTGGCTCTCCGTGCGGACTTTACATAAATTATTGAGACCGTATTCGCCTTTACTTGTGTGTGTACTTTTTGTACTTTTTTTTTTCCCCACCGGAGGAGATGCGAAGTAAATTTTAGGATAATCAGCCGTGAAAGTTCGTTTCTATATACCCCTTTACCCTGCATTTGGTGCTCGCTGCTCCGTAAGTGTATAGAGAAATGAGGGAAAATAAAGGGTACAGCTTCAATGGGGTGTACTAATTTGTCACAATTTATCATTACTCCATTTTCTTTTCATGCGCTCTTGGTCCAATAAATTGTTAAAAAATGTATAATATACCAAACAGATCATCCCATAAATCAGGTTTTAAAAAAAAAAAAAATGTTTTTTCGGAATACTGTATGGAAAAGTATGTATTTTCCAGAAACTATTGCAAAACTGTTGACGATGCTTGAGATGCAGAAATAAATACATGATGAGAAATAATCATCAACCATTTTTTAAAACCTACCAATAACCAACATTTACCTCGTGACAAGCAAAGACAAGGAAACTCGTAATAAGCAGGGATAAATTAATTCCGATGCATCACGTAATCGCAATGATAAATTCGTGATGAGCCACGGCGAGCTTTGATAAACAACGATGAGCGATGATAAGTGGACATAATCAATGAAAAGTCACCGGTAAACGTAAGCTCATAGGTATAGGTAGAGCCCAGCAATCGCAATGTAATTTGACAAATTCAATGTCCAACCCCTGCCCTTGTTTGTCGTACGCTCGAAAATGTCAGATGGAAAAAAGAAAAGAAAATTTATATTTCCGATGTTATGAGCTTCAAATCGACTCACTGCGCGCCCTAAGACCCCGAAAATCCAAAAATACCCACACGCCAGGCTGGTGCAATAAGCGCTCACTCGGTCCGCATTATAACAAAACGACACGAAAAACGGCGTCCGCGGCATTGGCCGGGAAACAGAAGGAAGGAGAACTAATAATACGAAAATTGATTTCGAAGCGGGTAGACTGAGAGCGCTTGCAAATGCCCAGCGATGGGCGATCGGTTGGCAGCGAGCCACCGTTGCACCGATGAAAGAAAATAATGAAAAAAAAAACATATACGCGTCCGAGAACATGGTCAGTATGGTATATAGCAGCAGCGGGTCGCCCTTCGTGACGCGTTCTTCCCTTCACGAGCCACCCCCGCCCTTCATATCCACCACAGCCATAAGTTCCGCAACCACCCGACCCCTCGGGCATTCTTGTCCATACGCGTATATACATAGGAAGACGCTCTCTGTGTGTACTTTGGCTCTTCGTACACGCGGTAATCGTCTTCGTCATCGTCGGGGTTCTCATTGCGGTCCCGGGAGCTATAAATAAGTAGGCGTACTGCACCCACGCCCAGCTACGCCCCGTGTGCTCCCCTCCCTGGAGCCTTTGTGCGCTTCTCCTCTTTTTCTCGCACCACCGCAGTAACTGCACCGTATACACACGTTGTTTTCACGTGGGCAGTCTCGGACTCGTGAATCGCAGCGTTAATCGACTTGTGTATGTGCGTGTTGATTTTCTTTTTTGCTAAACGCTTAGATTTTCCCTACCGAATGGACCCGCATGTGTGTGTGCGTATGATTTCTATTTCAGAGGCTGATGCCTGCAGTCAAACTGGACTATTTTGTGGATTTTTAAGAACTTGGGTAGAAAATTTTTCATTTTTCTGAACAAAGCGCACTCCATTTGCTGAAATATTTTCAGGCTGTCTATACTTGATTATC